ATAATCACCTCTTTAAAGGCCGTATGTCCAAACACGGTCACGTTCTGAGGGACTGGGGGCTTTAATATATGAATTGGAAGGGGACACAATTCAGTCCCCAATAGCCAGAGATGAATTTTATCTCTTTGTCTATTCATCTAAGATGGGAGAGGAGCAGGCGGCAGTAGGCTGCACTGTGGTGGTTTGTTCTGGGGAGACCTCACTAGAGACGGACAGGCTGCTCAAGAAATGGTGGCCATGGGCATCAGGACAGGCTTTGGCAATGAAAATACATAATCATGACTTTATTGTTTTGGTAAAAAAAATAATAATGCCTATTCTTTATAAGAAATGAAAAAAAAAAAACAAACAAAATCCCAAGACACAAAAAAGCACAAAGATAAAAACTGAAAAAAAAAAAACAAAATACCTCTAAATCCCACTACCAAGAAACAGCCCTCATTAGCATCATACCCCCTGTGTACACGGACAGAAGGCGAGACCACTGGATGGAGAGGTGCAAACAGAAGGAAACAAAAGCAGTCCCTATAAATGGGCTCATACTAGATGTGTTAAAGTAAAAGGTGTTGTTTTCCTTCAACTGAATTAACAGGACCAAAATGGTTGGAACTATGGCTGCGTCATGCCACCACACCTGGCTATTTTTTTTTATTTTTTGTAGAGATGGGATCTCACTATGTTGCCCAGGCTTGACTTGAATTCCTGGCCTCAAGTGATCCTCCTGCCTCAGCCTCCCAAAGTGCTAGGATTACAGGTGTGAGCCACCGCGCCTGGCCCCTATCTTAAAATCAACAGATTAGCAACCTTAACTCCCCAGTGCCATCTAACATAACTTAGCCCCAGGTCCTGGGGTGGGGGCGTTGTTCTCTTAATACCTACCACAAATGCAAAATGTCAGAAACTGCTGAACCTCACCTCAATTTTTCATCACAACATCATCCATGTTTAAATATTTCATAACACCCCAATTTTTCAAAAAAGATCATGAAAAACATCAGATGAGATGTTTTTGTCTGCAAGTAGCAAGCCAACTTGAGCCAGCTTGACCAATAAATGAGAGAATAGATCTCTCGAAAGAAGACGTGGGCTTCGGGCTGGCTCTGCGCTGGCCTGGAAGCCCCAGATTCCTCCAGCCTCTATCCTGTCTCTATCCTGAGGGTGGCAGGACTTCTGGGTGCTCGCAATGACTAACATTTGCAAAGCACCTGCAACCTGGAGCAGAGGACACAGGGTTCTACAGAGAGGCTGAGCAACTTGCCCGAGGCCACACAGCCAGCAGGTGGCAGAGGCCACTTTCCTTCCTGGGTGGGGGGGTGCTGGCCGCCGAGGTCCCCAGGCCTGGCACAGGGCTGCATCTCCCGGCACAAGCCAGCGCTCAGCTTGGCCATTAGGCGCGACTTTTGATCCCCGTAGCCTACAAAGCACCCGACACAACGTCGGGCTGCCTTTTTCTAAAATTTTTGATTTTTAAATTATTATGGGCACAGAATAGCTGCATATTTTTA